TCAGAAAAAATCTAAAAAATTTAAAAAATATATATATTAAATTACAATTGATAAACTTTATTTTAATATAAAAATAAAAATTATTTATTAATAAAATTATAAATTTTAATATAGAGAAAAAATTTCAATTTTCACTATGTTTTATTAATAAATTTAGTCTCTGAATCATTATTTTGATTATTATTATATATAAATAAATTAATTTATAGCTTATTAATAAAAAATAAGTTAAATAATATAATATATTATCAAATAAAATGAATTTTATTGATTTTAATTATATAAATTTTATATAAAATTAATATATAAATCTTAATTAAATTTAATAAATATAAATAATAATAAATTTAATTTAAATAAAAAATATAAATTTTAATAAATAAATTTTTATAAAAATATATATTTTAAAAGTTTAAAATTTAAAATTCTAATAATAATAATTATAAAAATTAATTATTAAATATATTATAAATTATATTTAATTATTATTAATTTTTTTTAAATAATTTTATTATATAAATATATATATAGTAATAATCAAAAATAATAATTCAGAATCTAAATTTATTAATAAAATATAATAAAATTAAAAATTTTCTCTTTATATTAAAATTTATAATTATATTAAGAAATAATTTTTATTTTTAAATCAAAATAAAGTTTATTAATTATATATTTTTTTTAGATTTTTTAGATTTTTTCTGAAAATGTTATAAAATTAGTACAAAAATATTATTAATTAAATTTTATTTTTAATTGATAAAAAATTTTATATTAAATTTTTAATTAAAATAATTCTTTTAAAAAAATTTTAATAAATATATCTTAAATTAATAAATTTTATTTTAATATAAAAATAAAAATTATTTCTTAATAAAATTTTAACTTTAATATAGAAAAAAAATTTTAATTTTTATTATATTTTATTAACAAATTTAATTTCTAATTATTATTTTTGATTATTATTATATTTCTAATTAATATAAAATAATAATTAATTATCTAAGTCAAAATATTATAAAATATTTCTAATTATATTAAATAATATTAATAACTAGAATTATATATTATTATATTTATAATTAAAATTATAAATTTATTTGAAAGTTTATATTACTTATATATTTAAATATCAATTAATTTTAATATATTATATTTTTTTATTAATACTGTATATCTAGTTTTTTAGTTTTAAAAAATAAAATTTTTTATAATATTAATTTATTATTTATAAAATTTATTAAAAATATTATGCTTAGAAAATTTTAATAATTAATAAATTATTTAATATTTTATTAGATTTAACTTAATTATTACTTTAGAAAATATATTTTTTAACTAATTATTTTTGAATAATATCTGAAAAATTAAAACTTATAAATTTTGAATAAAAAATTATTAATTTATAAAAATTTAAAAAAATAATAAGAGTATAAATAAAAATCAAATATTTAAATATATACTTGATAATAAAATATAAATATAAAAATCAAGATCAAATTACTTTTTAATAAATTTGAAATATTAAATATTATATAAAATATATATAAATAAATTGATCTATTATTTGTTAATAAAAAATACAAATATATTATTATATAAGCAAATTTGCTAATTCTAATTATATAAATTTAATTTAAAATTAATATGTAAATTCTTATAAAAATATCAATTAAATTTAATAAATATAGATAAATAATTAATTTAATTCAAATAGAAATTATAATTTTCTAGTAAACTAAATTTTATAAAAAAGATATTTTTATAGAGCTTATTATTTGAGAATCTAATAAAAATAATTATAAAATTCGAATTACTAATTATATTATAAATCATATCTAATTATTTTATATTAATTTTAATCAAAATAATCATTATTCAAATACAATTATATCTCTTTATAAATAACTTGATTCTTATAAAAAATTTATAATTAAGTTCTTATAAAGAGAGAAATTTCAATATATATTTTAATAAATCTATTTTGAATAATTATTCTTATATAAATTTATTCTTATATAAAGAATTCTTATAGAGAGATGCAACTAATTTCAATCATATACATAACAAATTGATCTATAACTCATTAATAAAAAATAATTTAGAAAATATAAATATATCATAAATAGAGTAGATTTTGTTGAATTTTACTATACAAATTTTATTTATTATTTATATATAAATTCTTTTAAATATTAGTTAAAGTTAGTAAATACTAAAGTAATCAATTTTATTCTATTGGGAATTATAAAATTTCTATTGGACTAATTTCTATGAAAAGATATTTTCTGAAAGTTTATGACTTGGGAATTAAATCACTGTTGTGTCGTATCAATTTTGGTTGAAATGACAAGAATTTCAAAACATATACATGAACAAATTGATCTATAACTCATTGAAATTAAAATATAATATAAAGAATATAACTATACCATTAAAAAGAGCAGGTTTCGCCAACTCTAATCATATAAATTTTATTTAAAGTTAATATATGAATTTCTAAAAAAACTATTATTTAAAGTTAGTAAACACAAAGTAATGAATTTCATTCAAATGATAATTACATAATTTCAAGTGGACCAAATTTTATAAAAAAGATATATTCTGAAAGCTTAGAATTCGGGATTCTAATGAAATTTGAATCATTGGTTGTGCCATAAAACGCATTTAAAATATTGCCAATCATTTTATAAATTATCTTGTAGTCCGGATACGTTGCTTTAATGCATTCCCCATTCGAAATTTGGCTCGGTAATACCTGTTCTATGAATAGAGCTGTATGAACATCATTGTTAATAAAGTTTATAATATTACATAAGCCTACATAATCTAACTTAATACATGTATGTTGTTGTTTTATTATAGACTACTGACTGCTATTACCTGTGGAGAAAAAGGAAGGCAAAAAGATTATAATGATTCTATCTTGTGTTGTATGAAGATAAACTCATTTATTTACAAATGAATTTTGTTTATATTTTGTCATTCTTTCATGCTCAATTGAACTTGTATTTTAATTAATATTGCGCATATATATTCGTTAAAATACAGTAATAATCCATTCATATTCGTAGCTTATATTTTTTTCCTTTAAAAGTTCACACGCAAAATTTCATCGCAACATAATTGCAGCAAAGTACTTCATTTAATTAGTGAATCACATAATTAAAGTGATACAAAAAAATCTTTCTAAGCGTCTATAAATTGTAGACTTTTGTTAAAATTTTGATAGCGGGGGAAGTTCTTATTCTTATTAATCTCAATATAATAAAATGACTCTTTCCTACCCAACTTTAAAAAATGCTGAAGCTACCATAGCTCTTTTGGATATGAAAAAAATATTTCCATTAAAAAAACCTGAGCCTCAACAACTAATATCTTCTCCAAACATAACAGAAAATGGAGAAACAAAACCAAGAAGGCCTATAAATGCTTTTTTTATATTTCGACAAAACGTTATACCTGAGGCCAGAAGAGTTGGTGTAACAAATATGCAGCTTATTAGCAAAGTTGCAAGTATGCTTTGGAAAAGAGCTCCAGAAAGTGACAAGCAAAAATACAAAAAACTTGCAGCAGAAGTCTCTGTCTTACATCGGCAAAAATATCCAAGCTTCCGTTACAATCAAATTCGTTCAAAATTCGTCTTCAAACGACAAGGGTTCTCTCGACAATCAAATAATAATGATATGCCGTCTTCTCATCTTTCTTTCCCTGAATATAACGAGAATGCATTTTCAAATATTTATTACGCTCCCATTTCAATTAATCAATTCTGTTACAGTAATTTTACAAGTCAGTATTCAGAAATTATGAACGGAAATCTCAATTTGTACTTGAGCGACACAACTTTCTTAGGAATCAATTTTAACAACATAGAATTAGATATGTACCCATCATTTTTTAATAGCATTCAAAATGGACAGATCTAATATATTAGCTGTGAAAGCGGTAAGATTATGCTTTATATATTATCTTTTGATGCAGAATTTTGAAAAATAGATATAAATTAAGAAGTATAATTTTTTGATCTTTAAGCTCGTTTCTCTTGATTGTTTAAATATGAATAAAATATTCCCTCCCTTTTTATGATTGAGGTGTTGTCATTGGATGTGTAAATAATTCAAAGGATATAATTTAAAAAATCTTTCTCTTCTTTATTATGATTACTGAAATATTAAGCAATTTGCGTTCAAGCTATGTTTCAGTATGATCATAACCTACATATAAGCTTAAAAATAAGCATGGTTTGCTGTTGAGACTATAAAATTCTATCGGCGACGTCACATTTTTTAACTAAGAGCAAATTTACAGTAGCAGCTTTCCACTCCTGAGCCATACCATGCGTTTATATAGTACCTGCATGTATAGGAATGCGTTTAAAAGAGGTGTTGCTGTATTGTCATTTCTTTCTAATAAATATTCTTTATCATCACGATGCGAACCTAAATTCAGATTTGTGAAAAATTCAATGACGGTAGCTGATAATTTGAAATATCATTAATAAATAATACGTAGACACATAGATTCAGATAAAATACTCATAAAATTCATTCTGCCAAAGTCACCATTTACTTTGTAAAACATCAATCGTTATACAAATAAACTGTTAATATTTCTAGAAAAACTTTAATTATTCTAGAAAAACTTAATTATTTATAAAGAAAAACTATTTTAATCATGGTACCTGCTTAGTTATCGTTATACAATTAACCTGTTAAAATGTTCCTGAGACAATTTAATTTGTTCCTTCAATTTACAATTTTGAGAAATATTTCTTCTAGAAAACCTTAATTATTTTTAAAAAAACTTTAATTATTGTAATCATACTGTAGTACGTGCTTAATTATTCTGAAGCTAGAAATATTTAATTATTGTAATTCTTCTGAAGCTTATTAACTCCATCTGTAAATTAATGCATATTATAAATTCTTATCCATACCATAATACCTATTTTATTGGTTTTGTCAAGAAAATATATTGTAGAAATTTCAATACGCAAAATTTAAAGTTAGTTGCTAGATTGATATCAATCATTACAGGTTGTTTTGACAATTTTTAGACATATAAATGGACGAATTTTGAAAACTCGTATACTTTTTTCATTCAACTACGTGTATATTCAAATAAAAGGACAAATAACATTTAATCTTTAGTGCATACGTGTAATCCTTATTTGTATAAAGAAACAGAGGTAACAGCCTACATGTGTTATGGGAACCATTAAACTGATGTGACAAATACGAGACGGAAAGCTTTTCTCGTGAGTAACTGTGCTTAATTATTGCATTGATAATGCAAAAATACGTAAAGAAGTTTACATAAACAAATACATGTATGTACGTGTGATTGAAATTGTTTTTCCTCATAAAAATGTACAGTGGATAAGTAAATCAAATCGTTATGAAGAGAAATACGAGTACATAAACCAGCCAACCGTATACCGTACATGTATGAGGTGTCACTTTTTTTATTGTTTCTAAAATTAGCACCACCAATTACATGTAATTGATTTGAAAAACCCGTTTTTTAAAATTAGCACCGTCATTTACATGTAGTTATAAATGATAGTCATTTTTCCTGATGCTAAATATTTACGCGCATGTACAAAAATTTTTATGTCTATTAAATAATATTTGCGCGAAACCGGGGGATTAATTCATGATTATTTTTCCGTAAACAAGACTTTTAAATCTTCGATGGTAGAAGCTCATTTAATAATTCTATATTACATGTACATTTAAGTTTGTGATATAATGTATATAATACATGTACATGTGCAATTAACGTTGACAGATAAAATTCGCCATACAATTGACTCTCGTATAATAAATTTTTAGTATGAAAAATGCTATACATATTTGGGTTTATGTTTTCTTTATTATTATAAAGCAAATAACAACATAACATTAGGTTCCAAAGTATTAATAATGATTCCTACACATAAAAATGCTTCAAACACTAAATAAGTGAATATCGGGCTGTTTTCCGTTTACATGTATTATGCAAGCACAATTTTTATCATTATTATGTTTACGTGAAAGAATGAAGATAACTGACGAAAGTTTATGCATAGAGTACTTCGTGCATGATTATGCAAAAAGAATTTATTTAAGTGAAAAACGGATGTAACTATTGCGAGAGTTTATTGTATACAACCAATAATGTTCATGTTCCTCCAGATCTTAATTTCTCGAATTTTAAATTCCGAATTGTGTTCAAAACCTTATAATATCAGGTTTGGATATGTAGTAGTATCGAATCAACAATCTTTAGATCCATAAATGCATACATAATGAGTATTTCTTGCATTTAATACATGTAATTACAATTTGGTATAATAAATGTTTGTAAACTTACATATACATATCGATTTCATATGCTTATAATTTTATCTAATGAAATTTACCATTGAAGAATATTCCAAAATGTCACAAAAAATGCTGGATCTTTCGTAAAAGTTTCTTTTATTATACAATTAAACTACTATAGAACCACTACGAAATTGAACCAAGAATCCATCGGAAGGAATCTCTATATCCTCGATTATGAACTATTAATAATATGAGTTCGTTTTAACTATAAATCCACTTTCGTTGAAACGAGATCCTTCATTAAAATGAACTAAATAGACTTAATGCAAATAATTTTATCAATAAACTTGCTGATAAATTAGAAAATTCCCATAGTACACAGAATATCTACCGTAAAGTCGAAAATTAGCAACCCCATTCATCAATTTGGGACCGAATTTTTTAGGGGGTTGCTTTCGGGCCCATTCCAAATATTGGTCGGTAAATTTTATTGGGGAATTAAAAAGTTGATGTTACAACTATGAAGTTCAATTATAAATAATGAGATAGTGATGAAAATGATATGTCAAGAATTAAAATTAGAAATAAATTAAATATAATAAATTTTGGAAAAATTGATTAATAAAAAAAGGGGTTGTTTATTTTCGGGACTTTACAGTATTAATATTTCCTCAAACTCAATCATAAAACTCCTCAAGAACTGGTACTTAAGAGCTTGACATTTATATTTTATTTTTGTTCAAAAGAATAATCATGTAAATTAGACCGATTTTTTTCTATTTGATGAATATTATCTTTAAAAAATCAAAAAAAAAACATTTTTAGAACTGTGATTTAATTATGAATAGCATGTATACTCGGCTAAACAAAATATCTGGTTTATAAAAAAAGTGAGATTCTTAGAGTGCATCGTCTTTTTATCCTGTATATCTTTTGCTTTTCTTTTGCATTTTTTTTAATAACAAACAAATAAATTATAAGAGTTTTATTTATTATATTGATTATAAAAAAAAGAATTTTTTTGTGAGTAATCAAATATTAACAAATGAATTTATTTTTATTTTATATTAATTGTTTATATTAAAAAATTGGTCGACCGTTTTATATATCACAAAACTATTACTCACTATCATGCCAAAAAGTATTGCTGAATTAAGAATGATATATCAATACTTCAAAGCAAGATACTTTATAAAAATACGCTATTTATCAGTTGTGTCTCATATAATTCTCTTTAACTATGATTAAGACTATTTTTTATATCAAAATGAATACAAAAATATTTTCATTATGTATATATACATATATTGTGACAAATTACTATAAAAAAAAAAATGAAATATTTTACAAAAATTATAATGTATTCTTTTTTGTATTTTAAATAATTTTGTTTTAATAGCATTATTTTAATATATTAAAAAACTTAATAATTATAATTATTTGCTATTTTTAGATAAATACAGAATTAGAATTAAATTTGTATTATATTATTTATGTTTATTTCATAAAAAGGTAGATAGTTTTCTTAGTAGAATTTCTCTTTTTTTGTAACAATTTTGATTGGGTTATCTTTCTTTAGATCTCTTTTAGTTTAGATCTTCATTTTGCGCTATCT